TACCTATAGTGAAGCCCAAAGGACACACAAGGGCTCCTTAGGGCCCTACTACCCTTTTCCTGCCTTCCTTTCCAAACCTTCTTGCCCTCGCTCCACCAGCTCACATGACACTGGCTTCCTTAAATATGCCAAGACTTTGATGCTAGACTCCCTTCGGAAAAGCCGGCCCGAAGGTGTCCGTTGCTGCCTCTCTCCCTGCCCTCCAGCGGCATCCCAGGACTCCCTCAGCTTCCTTCCTAAGCTCCCCAGAGCAGCCGTTGAGGCCCCACTTCATCTTCATGCCCACCTTGCTCACTGGCTTTCTTCCACTGGAATCTCACCTCCCTGAGGACAGGGGTTTCATCTGCCTGGAGTGTGGAAGTAGCCCCAGACCTGGATGGGGCATTTCGTGGGCATGCAACACAGGCTGACATTGGGTCAGTCTGTCTCCATTTGGCTGCCGTTACACATCTGACTTTCAGAGGGAAGAAAATGGGGCTCCAGCTGGCCAAGTGACGTGGCCGAGCTCCCACTGCCGATCAGGCCTCAAGCCAGGGTCGGGCTGACTCTGAAGCCTGCAAGCCTCCTCTGTATTCTCTGGCAGGTTCCCCAGCAGATTCCCCCCAATCCAATTATCCTTCCCTGGAGCACAACTTAAAGGTGTGCCTAGAGATTTTTCAACATCTGTGTTTCCATCTCCCAAGTATGCAGTGACTACCGTGTTACACAAAAATGCCTCTGTCCTCTGCCCCCAGACACACTGAAGAACCACACACCAGGTTGCCCACATGGTGGTTAGCTGCCGCCAGAGGCAGTGGATGATACTTCCCACACCCAGAGACCCCAATCTCTGAACCATTTCCTGTAAATGCAGCAGGATCAGCTTACGGCAAAAGTAGTGGTTTCTCACCTTCTCAATGGCAGGCTAGTCATTAAAGAACGAAAGGTATTTCCCTTCCTCTCTCAGGAGGTCAGCTGGTTTTAGGTCCAGAAGATCTGGCCCTTCTGTTGCCTTGAGACTGTCATGGGGTGGGAGTGAGTTGTGCTCTCCAGGGTTTGACGGCTTGGGGGACACCAGTCTCCCAGATCTACAGGCTTTATGTGAGTCCAGACTGGCACCCCACTCGACATGGAGGCCTCAGAAATAGATGGGGCTGCCTATGTGGCTTGGGAGGCTGACACCAAGCAGGTCCCCAGGAGAGTGGAATCAGGCTCTGGGATGGACAGCTGGACTGTGGGCAACATTAACTGAGTGAAGGCCACTGTTTGCCAATTTTCAGAACCACATGAGCCCTGGGTTCATGTTCTGTCCCAAGGGAAAAGGATGTCCTCCACCCAAGGTCTTATGACAGAGACAGTGTTTCCTGCCACATATAGCCAGAACGGTCCCTTAAATGGATTTTTTTTTTTTTTACTAATTTTTTGACATCAGTGTTTCAATCTCTCTCAATGAGAGATTGAAATAATATCACATATAAATAATTCATTCATAAAGATTCTAAGCACTAAGCTACTAGAAAGAGGCATTTACCCTTGGTACCCAGCAATACTGAGCAGCTTTCTTGGATGGTCATTTCATGATAGAAACATGGATAGTGACAGTGAGGGGCGCCGTGGGAGCAGAACCAGGCTGTGGGGTGGAAGGTGCAGGAGCTGCCAGTGCTTTCCAGGGATCACACTCCTCACCCGGATGGGGTGGGGGCTGTGGGAGACCCCTTTAGTGCCAGCTGAGGGTCTTCACACGAATCTGAGCATAGCAGGACACTGAGAGATGACCTAGTCTAAGACCTCGCTTGAGAGTGGAGGAAAGGGGTTTGGAGGAGTCAGAAGATGGTGGGTGGGGGTCAGATTCGTGCTGTCATCCAGTCCAGAGACTGCTTCACATACAGTTGTTTGTGTGCCTTTGTTATTTTTATTTATTTTTTCCATTTTTTGAGACAACGTCTTGCTTTGGCATTCAGGCTGGAGTGCAGTGGTGTGATCATGGCTCACTGCAGCCCTGGCGGTCCAAACTCATGTGACATCTCTCCCACCTCAACCTTCTGAGTCGTTGGGACCACAGGTGTGCACCACCATGCTTGGCTAATTTCTTTAAATTTAGTATTTGTAGAGATGGGGTCTTACTATGTTGCTCAGGCTGGTCTTGAACTTCCAGGCTCAAGTGATTCCCCTGCCTTGGCCTCCCAAATGCTAGGGTTATAGGTGTGAGCCACCGTGCCTGGCCACTTTCATTATTTTTCAGTGTGAGGGATGTGGGAAACATGTTGGCTACTAGTACTCCTTCCTAGGCAGCTCCCTGATCTTCAGGTGCTAACTGCACCACAAGCACCTTTGACCACTCCCTGAAGAGCGGGACTTACTTCCCCAAGCTCTCCTGTGAGTGTCGACCAGATGCCTTCTTCACCACTGGGTGGGAGCCTCAGCCTCCTGCCTCCACTGAATTCTGCTTCCAGTTGGTTCTCTTCATGGCGCCCAACATTAACAATGAGCTGTTCATAATTTAACATCTTAACTCATGAAGTTTGGGCTTTTAAAAGGTATTTCCTAAGACTGGATGAAGTAAAAGAGTCCCATCTTAAAATGCTAGTCTGGAAGGTAAAACATAAGTGATAAAAATTGATATGAAAAATATGGAAAAAATAAAAGACATTCAAAAGAAGTAAAGGCTTTTGCTAAGCACGGTAGGGCTCAAGGAGAAGGTCACTTGGTGGGCTCTACCTTCACCCTTGCATGAGACTCTGAGCTTCATATGAAACACAGCACTCAGGCAGCAGCTCCAATCACCTGAGCTATTAGCAATAGCCAGTGCTGTGCTGAGCTGCATAAAGGTCTGAGCTGCCGTAGTTTCCAACAGAGGGTAACCCACGGAACTTGTTTCCTTCTTAACAAATACTAATTTCCGCTTCTCTCTGAACAGTGAGCCTTTTCTATTGAAAATCTCTTATCTGAATTAGTCATAAAGAAGCGTCTTTAAAATAGCCAGCCCCCACAGTGAGTGGTTTAGGTTATTGCTAATCTAGTTGAATTGTTTAATGTTTGTTGAATCTTGTTGAGGTAAGACAGAGCAGGGCTATGGGTGCCAGTCATTGGGTTGCTTTTGATGGCTGTGAAGCAGCTGAGATAACAGTTTCTCCACAGTCACAACATGAGATCCAGCTATCAGGAATGCAGAGTCTGTTCTAATGCCCAGCATGCCACTGGTGAGGCTTCCATGAGTCCTGCGGCTACGACCTGGCTGCAAGCCTGCCCAACACAAATAAGCCCCACTAAGCACCATCTCATCCTTTGTCTAAATGCATATTGTGCCTTCCCTCTTGAAAATGGCAGATGGGGACAGCCCTGGGCAAGCAATGACAAGCAATGGCATGAAAGCAGGTGTACACCTGTATATAGAAGCCAGGTCTGGCATATTGAATTCCTGGATGTTTCTCATTGGCCCCGCAGATCTACTGTCTACCCTTGTCCACACTGCTCTGTAGGCAGAGGGTGACCTGCATGGACCACATCAGTAAACTCCCTGCAATTTGCCCTTCTGCCATTAGGAGGCACTGGTAAGAACCCGGATGGTGGAGGAAGGGTGTGGTCAGAGTATTTATTTCCCTGGCATCTTCTCTCTCCCAGACACCACCCCTCCTGCCAGTGGTTATCTCCATCCAGCCACTCTCATCCGTTGCCTTTCACCAGGCCTGAGGGTAGCCGCAGGAACGGTACTATCCTTCACTGGTGTCCTTAAATCCTGCCCACTCTTTAGAAAGCAGTACCTTTATGGAGTCCTCTTATCTCACAGTTTCGTGCTGCCTTTTCTTTCCTGCCAGGGTCCTGACTGATTCATCTACCAATATCAGAATCATACCAACCTACAGGTACTTCTCTTCTGTCTTCTTCTGGAACTCTAGAGAGTGCTTGGTAATTTTTGTTGGGTCTTGGCCGAGGGCTGAGAAAAGCTCCACTCCCTAACAGTGCATGGCTGACTGCAGACCTAAACTCCTGGGATGTCACATCTGGGGACGCCTCCATGGGCCAAGCCTTGGAAATGGAGGCTCCACTCCACAGTGGACATGAAGAGCTGGCTGAAGGCTGGCTCAGCACTGGAAGGCCATGCTTCCCCGCCCCAGCAGGAGCAGGGCATCCCACTGGCTGAGGACATGCTCCATGTGCACTGTCAGCCCGTGCAGGCAGGTGGGGCCCCCCCTGGGAGGGGCGTGGTGGGCCTGAGGAGACGGCTACAACAACTTCCACATGCGTGCCTGAGAAACCTCCGATGCATGATTTTGCAATGTTTATAATGTGAATGACTATGAGTGAAATTGGTATTGCTTTTTCTCAGGAAGAACCTACATCTGTTTTAGACATTTGTTTTGGACTCATTTTCTCCTTAAACATTCCAAAGAAGAGAGCTTGCCTTGCTTCTCGAATGCTTTCTTCACTGGGAGGAAACACCAAGAAGGAAGGAGACTGAGGTCAGGTTTCGTGCTTCCTTAACGTGGAGGCTGGAGAGGCTGGGCAGGCAGGGAACCCTCAGCTATGGAAGGCACACGTCACCTAGTACCCCAAAGTGCTGCCCGGTCAGCAGTCTCCTCATCTTTGCAGATGGGGAAACTGAGGCTCAGACAGATCACCCGACTTGTCCAAGACCACAGGAAGTGGCAGGTCTCCCATTTTCTCTAACGCCCATGGTCTTGCCTATCTTTTGCTCATCACCCATGAAGGGGCTGTCTGGGGGAGAAAGAAGCAAGGCAAAGAGGCACAGAGTTCTCCTTAGACGAGGACTGGGATTTAGGAGCAATGGAAAAAACTCAGAGATTTCAGTGTCTCCTGGTTATCGGCCCCTCCGTCTAGCCCATACCGGCTAGAACACAGGTGGCCCACAGAACAGGAGGTATGGCGCAGCATCTAGAATCCTAATAGAAAACTGCGCAAGTCTGAGACCACATGCCCTTTTCTTGCTCGTAGAGTAGGCTGGGCCAGCTCACCATTCACTGAGCCTAAAGGGTGTGGGCCTGTCGGCAGGAACAACTCACCAGCCTGCTCCAAAGCCACCATCGTTGCCTGCTCGATCAAGTCTCGCTCGATGAAGCTCCTGAAATCCTCACTGTACACGCTCAGGTCTGGCAACTGGAATGTGTAGATTGGCATCTCCAGGGGGAACTGCTCGTTGTTGCATTCACTTGCCACGTGGGACCGGGCCAGGGAGACGATGGCTGAGCTGGCATGGGAAATCCCCCGGGAAAGTCGCTTTTCTGCAGGGGGAGAAGGAAAGACAGCCACAAGGGCTGAGTGGGTGTAGATGTGGCTCTGGGTGTGTACATAAGCACACATACTGTGCACCCACAATACACACACACAGGTACACATTCATGGACACATACCACACACATGCACACACCACACAACATATATCAGTACACGTGCACACATATGAACACACAACACATACACATACATACTACATGGCACACACACATGTGCACACACACTTATATGCAGATGTACGTGTGCATCACATACTATACACATACACACATGCACACACATAAATGCTCACATACTTTTGAATACAAAAGTATACAAGGGAACATACACATGCACACACTAGACACATATACACTACACACCCACTTGCATAAATACATGTACACATACTACACAGTATACACATACATTCATGCAGACACATATACACATAGACACAGATACTAGGCACATATACTACACATATACACATGTGCCCATGTACATACACTACAGACTGTACACATACTATGAACATGTATATATATAGATGTACTTGCAAATACTATATACTACATATATACAGTACACACAAATACACAGGCACACAATATACATACATGCACAAACTATATGCATACACACATGTACACATACATGTGTACACACACGTACACATGCACACCCATATTCTCTCTGTACCAGCCCTTCCTTTTTTTTTTTTTTTTTTTGAGATGCAATTTTGCTCTTCTTGCCCAGGCTGGAGTGCAGTGGCATGATCTCGGCTCACCGTGACCTCCGCCTCCCAGGTTCAAGCGATTCTCCTGCCTCAGCCTCCCAAGTAGCTGAGATTATAGGCATGCACCACCATGCCCTGCTAATTTTGTATTTTTAATAGAGACAGGGTTTCTCCATGTTGGTCAGGCTGGCCTGACCTCAGGTGATCCTCCGCCTTGGCCTCCCAAAGCTGTACCAGCCCTTCTATCCTATAAGCCATTTCTCTCCTGCAGGCCTTCATGCTGCTGGATTAATCACCACCCCCTGGTACGTGGCACTTATTCACAAGAGTCATGAAACTACTTAGTAAGTGGGGAGCTGCAAGCCCATGGCACAACGGCACATCAGCACTGTCAAAGACCATGAGGCTTGCTCTTGGGTCTGAAGTTATATCTACCTTGATTCCACTGAGCTGTCCTCTCCCAGCACTAAATGGTACAAGGGAGACCGCTCTTTGTCTCGATGCATTTATACACTTAATGCAAAGAAACAATCATCTAGGCATCCACAGCAGCTCAGGTTATAAGTCAGGTTGTTTTACTAAAGTTACACTGATCAACGCCTCCCACATGGCCCTCCCAGGACACACAGTATTAAGTCAGTCCATGTGTTTCTCTTCCGTCTGGATATTCTTTCACCACAGCACTCTCAAAAATGATGGTCTCCTCTGGCTTTATTCTTCTCAGGCTTTCCAGCCAGGGAATGAGAAATGCAGTGTGGGATTTCTCTAAGGTACAATATGTCACCACATTAGGAAGTCGATTACGTAGAAAGTAGATGTATCCTCTTGATGCTGCAAAAGCAGGCTTGTTTTTATAAGCCCTGTGTTCTAATGACTAACACTGAACATAAAACCAGAATGCTTCAATATACGTTATGAATAGGTTATCTTTCCTCATGGTCAGTGTTTTCAGTAACAGAGAAGTCTTTTAGCAAGGCAGTCGCTCTCTCATTTTTCTCAGGAAAGCATAGTTTTTGGTGTTTTATTCAAACACCTGCTGCCTGTGTTGCCTACACTAAATCTAAATAAGCATTGTCTAAGCCTTGTGGCAAATTCCTGAAGCTATTCCCTGAGGTCCCAAGGACTCCCACTGTCCTCCAGTTCAGCCTGCCCACTGGCGAGGCCTGTGTTCCTGCAATGCCCCTCTGAGGTCCGCACTGACCAGCACATCACAGGCACATGGAAAACCCAGCCCCTGCCTTCATCCGGAAGCAGCATCCCCCTTCCCCACCTACAAGAGTGCCAGACAGAAATGACATTCACGGAGTTTTGTTAAAACAGACTAAAAAGCATAGGCTTTTGATCCTGTGGCGAGTTAGCTTTAAACCCAAAGCTAATTCCCAGAAGGTTCATGTATTTTCTCATTAAAATGAATGCAGACTCACAGAGACAGACTGTATTTCACAATGGGTAGTTTAGATTCACCTTCAGTTTCAGTCTAAGACCAACAGGATTAAATTCCTCGTATTTTGAGGAAAGGTAAAAAGAGAAATTAAACCACATGGGCCGTTAGAAAGAAGAAGGATGGAGCACGCGAGCCTGGCTTGAGTGGTGGGGGATGGCCCATTGCTTCCCACACTGGCTCACATCCTTGAGTGCAGGAGCAACAGAGGCTTGTGTCTTTCTGCCTCATGCAAACCATGCTGAGGCTGCTCATCTTGCCACAAACTAACTTTTTTGTATCTGGGAAAGAAGGAACCGCCCCATTTTGGAGGACCTGAAGGAGAGGGACATCAGGCATTAGAGAACTGAGGTGCTATGTGCACCTGCAATCAGCTGGACAGACAACCTGAAGGCTGCTTTCAACAGTTGGCAGCCACTGGCCGGGGGCATCCAGGCTCCTCCCCTGCCCATTAGTCAGCACCCACATGAGACACTTCAAGGGTCTTGGAAACCACGGTGATTCCTAGGACAACGTAATGCTGTTCTGCAGTTTTAAACATGAAATACTTGGAGTCTGAAGGAAAAAAGTATTTTTGAACTAAAAATATTAATAGATTATTAATAGTATTGAAGCTAATATAATGAAAAATATATGCTCCTAATTCTAACATTTCCTGTGACCACCCCATGAATGCACATATATCATCTCTCACACACAGACACACAGTCACACATGTACACACAACACATAGATTCTTTAAACATGAACTCAGTGATTCTACTTTTGGATGTATAAATAAAATGTTTTACAGGAATTACCATGATCAAAGTTACATCCCCAGAGAAACACAGAAAGATTAAAAAACAAAACAAAACATAGTATGAGAATGTACAGAATTTCCCTGCCACTGACAAAGGGGAAATGTATTAACTATACATTCTTTTTTTCATTTATTTTCCTTTTATTTTTAATTTTTACAGAGATAGGGTCTTGCCATGTTGCCCTCTCTGGTCTCAAATGCCTGGGCTCAGTGATCCTCCCACCTTGGCCTCCCAAAGTGCTGGGATTACAGGAATGAGCCACTGCATCTGGCCCTGCGTTTTCTTATTTTCTTTTTCTTTATTTTTCTCCCCCACCCCCCTAGTTTTCTTATTTTCTGTGTTTTTTTTTTTGCTCTGGCACCTGGGACCTCCCTGACTGGGGAGAGGCTGCCCGCCCAGGTGAGCTGAAGTCAGAGATGGCAAAGGGCTTTCCCAGCAATGCATCTCTCCTATGGGGAGCAGCCAGTCCAGAATCTACACTCCCTACCACTCTCTCCAGCTGGCTCTTACTGTCCAGCAGGCAACGTTCCTTTGCCCTAACTACTTCAGGCTAGGTACCAGGCAGCCGGAGGCGGGCCCTTTGCTCCTGAGCCGGCTGCAGTTACACACACTAGCTGGGGCATGGGGCTGCTCCCCCTGCCCTGTCCTGCCTTCCCACAGAAACCACCGCAAAGGCTTTGGCCCATGCTTCCCCTCACTCCTACCTCCAGACAACCTGTGTGGCCATGCATGCTGTGCTGGGCCTGCTGTTTCCAAGGAACTGTGAGCAAAACAAACCACTTCCACCTTCTTGACAGTCATTTCTGTGTCTGCGTGTCTTATGACACCTGATTTAAACCGATGCTGGGTACATGTTAAAATAGGTGGACAAAACTTTTCCTAATGGGTGAGATAGAAATATTTCAGGCTTTGTGAGGCTATGCAGTCTCAACTACGCACCTCTGTGCAGCACTAATGCCGCCCAGGACAGCACATACATGAGTCAGCGTGGGGGTGTTCCAATAAAACTTTATTTAAAAAACAGGCCAGATTGGGCTCACAGGTCATTTGCTGACCCCTGATTTAGAATATGAAATGTTTCATTTTCCATTTTAGCACACTATGGTTTCAGGAAGAACTCAACTAATGGAGACATAAATTCAATTCAGAAACTCTGTAATTCAATAGGAATAGATATGATTGCGCGCAAGGCTCAATTAATAGGATCATGCTGGGATAGAGTCCTATTCTTAAATGGTATCTAGAAGTCAGACCACAGTATGTAACAGTTACACTTATTAGGCCCTGATTCCACCCTCTCTGGAAGCAGAGAGAAGGGTCCTTCTAGCCCCTTACCAGGAAGATAAGATAATGGGTTGGTTTGTTTGCTGCCAGCTCTAAAGAGCAGGAACTGCCATGTGGTCATCTGTCTGGATTGCCACTGCATGAAAGACACCAGGAGCCTTAACTGTGCAGTACAGTCAAGGAAGGCCCCAAGCAAAATAATGAGCCAGTGACTGGAAGGGGTGGTTCCTCTGAAGTCAGGTCGAATGGCAGAAATAAAATAGCACTTAAGAATAACCAACAAGATGGGTAAGACAGTGCACAAGCCTCAGTGTCCTGTCCTTAAATCTACCTGGAGATCCCCAGGGTAGAGGTGGGAATGGGTGAGGCCTACAGAGAAGGCCTGGGGTAGGGTGTCTGGTCCTGCCATTTCTCTCCCCAGCACAGCTCTAGCATGGCCTGCCTTCCCTATCATTCCCCAGCCCCGGCCCTGTACCAGCTAGAGAACGTCAGGTGGTGTTGGAGCACAGCTGTGTGGGGCACCAGCCACCATGAGCACCATTTCCCTCCTTTTCCTAACACACCTGGGAGCTTGGCAGTCACATCAGAGCGGGGCAGTCCCTGCAGGAAACAAGGGCTTTCTAGAAGAGAGGAGATGGGAGCAGCCCTCAGGAGACAATCCAACTGTGGCGAGGGGAGCAGGCAGAAAACTTTTAGAGCCCAAATGATGACATCCAAGGCTCTCCAGCTTGAGTACCCTTC